GCATTTGATTTGATTAGCTAAATACTTACAATTGATTTCTAGTTAATTAGTTATTGTTTGCAAATAAGCATAGGCCTACCCAGGTGTTAAACATTCCTAGTGGGTGGTGATTTTAGGAGTTATATAAGGGTTGTTGTCATTGGCTTGGCTAATGTAGCTTGGTTGCTTCATCTAAGTGCGGCTTCTAAGAGTGTGGTTGGAGATATTCTGGAGAGAAACTGGAGGTAATCTGAGGTATTCTGGAGGACTACAAATTTAAGATTTGTTTGATTTAACTTATTCACCTCATTGGAATGGCAGACTTAGTTCAGTGTAATAGTTGTTATGCATTTGTTTCACGTTCCACTTTTTGGAGATTTGGATGCTGTCTAATCTGTAGACAGTTCTCTATTTTGCAGCAGGAGATTGTATTTTTGAAGTCTGAGATTTGTAAATTATCTGGTAAACAAACTCAGGCTGGGACTGTTGCAAAGCCACTGCCACAGAGATGTACTAGGAATGGCAGATGGATTACGGTATGTGGGGATATTTATGGGATAATAATAGTAAACAGTTGAGAATTGCCCACTAATTCAATTCTCAGATCCCAAAGAACGTTTATCGTAAGTGAAAGTATTTCATATAATTAATATCACAATGTATAAAATAGATTTTATTTATGATAACCAATAATTAACAAATAATATTATGTAACATGCATGACAATAATCAATGAATATTCAGTATAAAATTATATGCAATACAAAGAAATGGGTATTACGTTTCAATGGCTAAATAGCATTATCTGTCAAGACTTCTACGATTTATGACTAGCTTCCACAGACTGAAAGTGAAACTTTTCACACAGAGAACAGAATTCCTCAGAGTGCAGCATAAGGTCGTAAAGTTTAGCAGACAGTTAGAATAACCCTTTCAATGCTGGCTAGATCTCCTAGGTAGTTAAGATCTATTCTTATGTAATTTTTTAAATAAAATAACATTTAAACCAGTTTAAATTCATTTTCTTAAACCATCCAATAAGAGAATCTAACATTATATAAGCAGATTTTTAATTTGTCTAAAAGATATCTATCTTAATTTAGAGCAAATCAATACACCTGGATAAAAACAGCGGTATGCTAACACGTGATAATATCACATCAATATATAATTATTCTTAATTCCACCTGCAGAATGGAATGTTTATAACTATATATTCTTAGTTAACTAAGATTTCTTAATATGGAAATCTGACCGTGCTTTATCCAGTCATATATAATGCTATTAATATAATTTAATTAATTTAATTTAATTAAATGAAACCAGTATAATTACCAGTTGAGTAGATATTTCATCCGATTGGTAGTCTCTCTGCATGGAGGTGTTGGTTAGAAAGTCAGTAAATTCTAAGTGTTAGAGTTTTAGGAGTAGAGTGTTAGTCTCAGATGTTGTCCGAGTTGGAGTTCCCAAACTTCCAATTCCTCTCTCCTCTCCTTTGCATATCTTGCATCTGCCTCCTTCTCTCGTATATCTCTATCTTCCCTTTGTCTTAACTTTTAAAGGGCCAGACTCTCTGTACGTCATCAGTTGATAACCCAATAGAAGCACTAGAGGTGTGGTTATCTTCCAGATCGCAAATTAGTTATTTGGTCTGTAGAGGGCAGTCTTGTCCCACTAAACATACCTATCCAGGAAAGAGTTAACTTTTCCTGGTGGCTATTTTGACGTCATTTTGGCCTATCTAGATAGTGGCCATAATTCAGATTTCAAAGGGTTTCTTAAATTTTGTCCAGACTTAGCGTCTGCAATTCCTGCCATAATTTCTGATATGACAGATCATGAACTAAGTTTACCCTTTTCCATACAATGGTACCTTATATATATAGACAGTTAAATATTAAATTATTTAATCTTCTCTGTCACAATTGTCTGGGTTTAGATTTGATTATATTCCATTAGCATTAGACAATCTGTCCAACCCCCTTCCTTATCACTTGGCTTGTATATACTATGCATTCCTTAGCTCTGGCAAAGAGGCCAGTCTTACAGAAAGAAATCCTGTGTCTCTTTGTCTTTGTTGACTTGGAATAACAAAATGGAGTCTGGTCTGTTCAGAGTGACTCAGAATATACACTTTTAGTTTCTATCTTAGCACAAAATGTCTTCCGATATAAATACTCTGACAGGTAGGATCTGGTAGACTTAGAGTTGTGGATAAAAGGCATATTGCACAGTCTGTTGCTCTACATAATTCATTTTCTGCACTTTCAGAGTGTAATGGTGTTATGGAGACAGGCTCAGGTACTGAGGGTAGTGGTGTTATGGAGATGGAGAGACAGGCTCAGGCACTGAGGGTAGTGGTGTTGTGGAGACAGGCTCAGGCACTGAGGGTAGTGGTGTTGTGGAGACAGGCTCAGGCACTGAGGGTAGTGGTGTTGTGGAGACAGGCTCAGGCACTGAGGGTAGTGGTGTTGTGGAGACAGTCTTGGAGACTATGGTAAGGCCTAATAGAAAGCAGTTGTTGTTGGGGGATTCCATCATAAGAGGTGTGGAGATGACAATGGTGGTCTTGTGAGATGTCTTCCCGGAGCTACTGCTCACAGAGACAGGAGACGTATTTGTAATATTGTTAAGCAAGCAAAGCAGGAAGGGGAATTGGATGTACTTGTCCATCTAGGGACAAATGACTTGGCTTGCAATGAGGTTTCAGAGGTTAAGGAAGTTTTTAGTGTTTTGCCAATGATATACGGCAGGTTGCTTCCACACTGTCATTCTCTGAAGTTCTGCCTGTGCATAACACTCAGAACGACAGGCGGATGCGTATTAGGGACTTTAACTTGTGGCTTGGTGAATGGTGTCGGGAGCAAGGATTTGGCTTTATTTCTCATGGTAGCTCTGTTTGGAATGGAAATAAACTGTACAAAAAAAAAGATGGTTTGCATCTTTCTCAAAAGGGAACAAATGTTCTCAGTGAGCAGTTCAGAGGTTTTGCTAGGATGTATTTAAACTAGGAGGGGGGGCAAAAGGGTGATAAACCATCAATCCAATTGCCCCCCAAAACAAGGACAGAAGGTGCCTTTAGCAAGTGTGTTAAAAAATGACACGCTTAGAGTCATGTCTACAAATGATCACAGTTTTGAGAATAAGATCCATGAACTTGTGGCAATAATGGCAACTGATAATGTAGATTTAGTCGCTGTTACTGAGACATGGTATAATGAGAACAATGACATAGCAATAGCAAATGGGACAGAGCAATACCAGGGTACTCTTTATATAGAAAAGACAGGGGAAGCAAAAAAGGGGGAGGGGTGGCCCTGTATGTGAAGGCTAGCATAAAATCTAGCCTAAGAAAAGTTAGTGAGGTGAACGTAGAGTCTGTTTGGGTTAGGTGTTATTTATAGGCCCCAAGGACAAATAGAAGAGTTAGATAATCTACTAGTTGAGGAAATAGCTAAAATGATAATGAAGAGGGAAGTTATCATCATGGGTGACTTTAATCTTCCTGATGTGAATTGGAAAACAAAATTAGCTGCTTGTTCCAGGAGCACACATATTCTAAACTCCCTACTGGGATTGTCTCTAAAACAAGTCATTGAGAAGCCAACTCGTAAAGAGGCCATACTAGATTTAGTGTTAACAAATTGAGATTTGGTATCAGATATTACTGTAGGTGAAAGTTTAGGATCCAGTGATCATCAGTCAGTGTGGTTTAATATAAGAACAGACTTGGTTACACCACACAAAAACAAAAGTTTTAGACTTTAAAAAAACAGACTTTTCTTAAATTAGAATATGTGTAAAGGAGTCATTATCAGATTGGAGCAATTTAAATTAAGTCCAAGAGAAATGGGATTATTTAAAAGTTGCACTGCTGAAGGCAACAGAAAATTACATTAGGCTTGTCAGTAAAAGCAAAATATTCAAGAAACCACTGTGGTACTCCGCAGATGTGGCCAAAATAGTAAAATAATAAAAAGTTAGTATTTAGTAATTATAAAAAAAAACAGAGTGAGGAAGAAGGAATGCTCTATAAGATTAGGCAGAAAGAGGCTAAGCAAGTTATAAGAGCTTCCAAATCTCACACAGAAGAGAAAATAGCAGTAAAAAAGGGGACAAAACATTTTTTAGATACATAAATGAGAAAAGGAAAGTAAAACAAGGATTAGTTAGATTAAAAACAAAAGAAGGAAGGTATGTAGATGGGGATAAAGGTCTAGCTGACTTCCTCAATGAATATTTTTGTTCAGTATTTACAGAGGAAAATGAAGGAAAGGGACCTCAGGTAGGAAAAAGGACAAATAAGTCATTTATTACATGTGAGTTTACAGAGGAGGAGGTTCTATTTCAACTGTCAAAACTAAACACAAATAAGTCAATGGGACCTGATGGAATACACTCAAAGTTATTAAAAGAGCTTAGTGTTGTACTAGCAAAACCATTAACAGATTTATTTAACCAATCATTGTTAACAGGAGTAGTCCCAGAAGATTGGAAGTTAGCGAATGTTGTGCCCATTTACAAGAAAGGTAATAGGGAGGAGTCGGGCAACTATAGGCCAGTAAGCCTTACTTCAGTAGTGGGGAAAGTGATGGAAACCATGTTAAAGGATAGGATTGTTGAACATCTAAAAATACATGGATTTCAAGATCAGAGACAACATGGGTTTACTTCAGGGAGATCATGCTAAACTAATCTTATTGATTTTTTTGATTGGGTAACTAAAATAATAGATCAGGGTGGTGCAGTAGACATTGCTTACCTAGATTTCAGTAAGGCTTTTGACACTGTTGCACATAGAAGGCTTATCAATAAATTGCAATCTTTAAGTTTGGATTCCAATATTGTTGAATGGGTAAGGCAGTGGCTGAGTGACAGGCAACAGAGGGTTGTAGTTAATGGAATATATTCGAAGCTTGGACTTGTCACCAGTGGGGTACCTCAGGGATCTGTACTTGGACCCATTCTCTTTAATATTTTTATTAGTTATATTGCAGAAGGTCTTGATGGTAAGGTATGTCTTTTTGCTGATGATACTAAGATATGTAACAGGGTTGATGTTCCAGGAGGGATAAGCCAAATGGCAAATGATTTAGGTAAACTAGAAAAATGGTCAGAATTGTGGCAACTGACATTTAATGTGGATAAGTGCAAGATAATGCATCTTGGACGTAAAAACCCAAGGGCAGAGTACAGAATATTTGATAGAGTCCTAACCTCAACACCTGAGGAAAGGGATTTAGGGGTGATTATTTCTGATGACTTAAAGGTAGGCAGCAGGAAATGCTAGCAGAATGCTTGGTTATGTTGTATAGGCAGAGGTATTAGCAGTTGAAAGAGGGAAGCGCTCATGCCATTGTACAGAACACTGGTGAGACCTCACTTGGAGTATTGTACGCAGTACTGGAGACTGTATTTTCAGAAGGATATTGATACTTTAGAGAGAGTTCAGAGAAGGGCTACTAAACTGGTCCATGTATTGCAGGATAAAACTTACCAGGAAAGGTTAAAGGATCTTAACATGGTTAGCTTGGAGGAAAGACGAGACGGGGGGATATGATAAAAACATTTTAATACATAAAGGGTATCAACACAGTAAAGGAGAAGACCATATTTAAAAGAAGAAAAACTACCAAAACAAGAGGACATAGTCTTAAATTAGAGGGGCAAAGGTTTAAAAATAATATCAGGAAGTATAACTTTACTGAGAGGGTAGTGGATGCATGAAATAGCCTTCCAGCTGAAGCGGTAGAGGTTAATACAGTGAAGGAGTTTAAAGGGACACTCCAGGCACCCAGACCACTTCTGCCCATTGGAGTGGTCTGGGTGCCAACTGCCACTAATCTTAACCCTGCAATTAATAATTGCAGTTTTTTATAAACTGCAATAATTACATTGCAGGGTTAACTCCACCTCTACTAGACAGCCACTAGAGGGCACTTCCTGATTCATAGCAAAGATTTTCTTTGCTAGAGCGTCGCTGGACGTCCTCACGCTGTGTGAGGACCTCCAGCGTCGCTCAATTCCCTATAGGAAAGCAGTGAAAATATTTTTCAATGCTTTTCTATGGGGAGACCTAATGCGCGTACGCGGCATTGCCGTGCATGCGCATTAGGTTTCCTCAGCCGGCGGGTGGGATCAGTCTCGCCCACCGGCTGACGTGATTACTGGGAGGAGCGACGCTGACCTGAAACCACCACCGAGAGACATCGGCGGGGTTTTCACCCCTTCAACCACCTGGGATGGGAGCTGGGAGGGAGAGGGTACCTGCAGTGCCAGGAAAACAGATTGTTTTCCTGGCACTGGAGTTTTCCTTTAACCCCTTAAGGACCAAACTTCTGGAATAAAAGGAAATCATGACATGTCACACATGTCATGTGTCCTTAAGGGGATAAGCATGCGTGGGATAGACATAAGGCTATCTTAGATATAAGAGACTAATGAAAGTATTTAGAAAATTGGGCTTACTAGATGGGCCGAATGGTTCTTATCTGCCGTCACATTGTATGTTTCTATGTTTCTATGTTTCTAGGTCCAACCTCCCAAACACTAAATACATTTTAACTTACCTGAGATCCAGTGTCAAGCTCCTGGCGCTGCTTAGTATGCCCCCTTTTTTACATCATGGCTGCAATTGTTCAGTCCAATCAAAGTCCTTTCATAGAGAAGCTATGACCTACTTATCCTCACTAATACACAAATATGTCCCGTCTAGGCCCCTACGCTCTGCCCAAGACCTTTGTCTATCCTCTGTTTGTACTCCCACCTCTGATTCTCGCCTTAAAGACTTCTCTAGGGCTGCACTGTTGCTATGGAATGCCCTTCCCCTCTCTGTTAGACTTTCCCTCAATCTCCACTCCTTCAAAAACTCTTTGAAAACATACTTCTTTCGGAAAGCATATCAATTAAGCTGTGAGCAGCGTTCCTTCCCTGCACCCTTATTCCATCAAAACAAAACACTAAGAGTTCAATGAATACTATCCTAGCAACCTACTTTTCTACCCTGCCCTTACCTTTTGTGTCACATTACTCCACTTCATCTAGCATGTAAGCTCATTGAGCAGGGCCCTCAATCCCTCTGTTACTGTGCGTCAATCTTGTCTGGTTACAAATACGTGTCTGTTAGTCCACCCATTGTACAGTGCTATGGAACTTGTTGACACTTTATAAATAGTAATAATATTTAGACTGTTTAATCAGCTCGGAGCGCATGTGTGCTCTCTAAGTAGGCATAGGGGAGAGCGAGAGCTAGTGGGGAGGGAGATGGGATGGGAACCCTTAAAAAAATTTAATGGAGGGATGGAAAGGAGGCACGACATTCCTCTTGCAAACACTGCCTGCAAGGGGAGAATTATAGAAGATCTGTCTCCAGAGTGCAGTGTGCCTGCGTACTGTACTGTCGCTAGTGTGCAGATGTTATTTTTGTTCCAGACTGACAAATTAATGTGTGCCAGCAGTGTAACTAGCCCCCGTTATACACGTGTAAATATCTGTGTGTGTGTGCAGTATTTTTAGCAGAAGCACTTTACAAACAGATTTCACCTTTAATTGCAGAAATGGTCATGGACATTGGAGTAGCCGTTTAACTATTGAGATTAGTAAACATAATATTAAAAATTCCAGAAAGTGACAGTTCTCTATTAAGGAGTGTAGTATTAACTCTGCTCCCCATGGCAACTACCACTTGAAAGTCTGCCTTCCTGCAGTTACCACACTGGGAAAATAACCTGGGTTTGTCAATATGGCCATTGTGATGCAGCATGGGCATAATTTAGACTTCAGTGAGAACCAGAGATATGAAAGCAACAATCACACAATAAAGTTACAGGGCACTCACCTGCAAGATCAAAAAGCCAGTCCACTAAATTAACTATGGCCCTGTACCCTATAGCAAAATGTTCCTGTGTTAACATTGTCTAAAAAAACAACATTTTGTTGCTGTAAATATTTGATGTTGCATGGTAGAATGTAATGTTTCTTTTTGAAGTTCTCATTTTAGCAGAAAAATTGGAGGACAGACAAATAAATCGACACCTGCAAATGTTTTTCCCTTCATCATTAACATTCTTTTATTAAGTGTTCAAATATAAACTTGCAATTTGTATTCTCTAGAAAACATTTACACTGATACAACCAATGGATTTTAGTTTTTTACACATTTGAGCTGTATCAGGCCTAAAACCGAAATACACCAGAGAGAAAAATAATCATCCCCAAAAATGTCCAACTTTGCATTATAGTCTTTAATATATAGTGTGGGTGTCACTAAATGTCTACACAATGCTGCTCCGACCTACTTATCCTCACTAATACACAAATATGTCCTGTCTAGGCCCCTACACTCTGGTGAAGACCTACATCTAGCCTCTGATGCATGCCTTAAATGCACCTCTGATGCACGCCATAAAGACTTCTCTAGGGCTGCACCATTCCTATGGAACACCCTTTCCCTCGCTGTTAGACTTTCACCCAGTCTTCACTCTTTGAAGCATGTAAGCTCATTGAGCCCTTTGTTCTTGTGCGTCAAACTTGTCTGGTTACAAATACGTGTCTGTTAGTCCACTCATTGAACAGCGCTATGGACTTGGTTGGCACTTTATAAATAATAATAATAATAATGATTCAGCCCCTCTCCCTTTAGTGATATTATAAGAGACTCTGTTCCCCCGATTTTTAGTTTTAAGACTGAATTAATAGTAACAGTGCAAATGAGTAACTCACATTAATCTCAGGCAGCCCTAAAATGTTGATTGATAGAGATATAGATATATATATATATATATATATATATATATATATATATATATATTGTGATCTTTGTCACCAGATAGCACGGTCCTCTAGGGCAAAAACATGCACAGTCCTTGTAATTGCATATACTCAGGCACTTTATTTGTAAATCCACACAGGATACAGCAGTAAATGAAAAACAAAAGTAACAGAAAACCCTATAAACAAACACCTAGCTCGTCTGAGCACTAACTGACATTAGTTCCCTATCTCTCAGGGTTAAACTAAACACAACATTGCACCAACCTTATTAGAGAGCAACGCTCTGCTATCTAACCTGTTGCTTTCCTTTCTGCACTCCCAGTGCTCCAAGCCAGCCTTGCCCTGACTGCTTTGCTTTCTGCACTCCCAGTGCTCCAAGCCAGCCTTGCCCTGACCGCTTTCCTATCTGCACTCCCAGTGCTCCAAGCCAGTCTTGCCCTGACTGCTTCCTTTCTGCACTCCAAGTGCCTAGTCTCCTTGACTATCTGGAGAGAACAGCCTCTCTCTCCTACCTGCTTCCTGGGAGGAAGCCAGCAATCCCTCTCCTTTTCCTGCCTAGCCGGGAGGGGTTTATTCCCACTGCATTAGCTCATTAACTGCAGCTGAGCAGTGGGTTGGAGACGGTCCAAAAAACCCTGGCCTGGATCTATGTCTCCCCAGAAAACCACTAAACTGTGGAGTGGAGCATTGGCCCACCCTTCTCTCCAAATGCTCCACCCCAGGGGCCCATAACTAAACAATGCGTTGTGTTGTGCAACACACAAACTACACATACTCCCCCTGGGGTTAAAAGGCCTATCTGCCTTCACTTTATCACAATATATATATATATACATATATTTATGTATATGTAAATATCACACTGTAATGGGATATTATATATAAAATATTTTTATGGATGGTAGTGTCCTGTTACTGTGTGAATATTAGATCAGATTTACAATATACCCTGGGACATCCAATGTGGACTATTTTCCATTAAACTGTACAGAGTACAATTTGGAGTACAGTGGGCATTTAGATCACTATAAGAGGACCCTTTGCTGTGCATTACATTGCAAACAGAATTAATGGCCAAAGATAAACAGTAATTTCCAACACTGTATTTTGATGAATATTTTTTTCCCATTTTTATGAATTTAGTATGAGGTAAGTGAAGCAGAAACACAGCAGTCTGCGGGATATAATCCTTTACTCATTTTCTTTTTTAATGGTTTTGCATTATAAGCCAGCAGTACCTATGTTAATAATTTGAAGTGACTTGCTTTTTGTTCCCTTTTACAGTCCTTTTTTTATTTTTATTTTTAACAAAATCGGTTTGTTCTTAAATGATATTTGTTTTTCACCCCATGAAGCTAAGGTTAGCAAATCTCCTTCATTTTAGACAATAATAACTGAGCTGTATGAAACATATTGGTAACATTGCATTTCTATATTGCAGACAGATGAGGAAAACAAACTTTTTGGACATGGTTAGAAAAAGAATGGAATTTGAAACCTTTGCTGTTGTTTCTATTATTCTCAAATTGATATTTATATACTATTTATAAAATTGAACTGACCAGTCAGGGACGGCTCAAGACATTGTGCTGCCTGGGTCCAAGGATGGGATGCTGCCCCCTCCCAAAAAAACAAAATCTGTGTTTCTGCAATGGTAGTGTCTCTCTATGTGTGTGTGTGTTGGGGATAAAATGTATGTCTGTGTCTGTATGTGTACTGGGGATGAGGTGTGTGTCTAACTGTGTGCTGGGGATGATATGTGTCTGTGTCTTTGCTGTGGTTGAAGTGTGTATCTGTGTATGTACTGGCACACAACACACACAGACAGATGCACACACTACACACACACACACACATATGCATACACGCATAGATACACATATAGACACTACACATACACACACACACATACACACAATACACACTTAGACACACACATACATAGATACAGTCTGTGTGCTGGGGATGTAGTGTGTGTCTGTATGTATGCTGGTGATGTAGTGTGTGTCTGTGTGTGTGCTGGGGATGTAGTATATATCTGTGTGTGCTGGGGATGTAGTGTGTGTGTGTGTGTGTGTGTGTGCTGGTAATGTAGCATGTGTCTGTGTGTGCCCCGCAGCCAATAAACTTACCTATACACTGTGAATATGCATGTGTGTCAGTGTTTGTATCTGTGTGTCTGTATCAGGAAATGTGTCAGTGATTGTATCTGTTTGTCTATGTATATGCATGTGGGCCAGTATATATATCAAACACTGACACACATGCAGTTATTGACATACATACTGATGTAAACACACACTGATATACCTGCACTATACAGACATACACACATACAGACACAGAACCACATACACATACAGACACTGACACATACAGATACACACACTGACATATACAGATCCACACACTACACACACACAGATATACACACATACAGATACACAAACTACACACAGATACACACACTACACACATACATATTCACACACTGCACACACAGACAGATACACACAACACACACACAGACAGATGCACAGACTACACACACACACACAGATGCACACAACACACACAGACAGATGCACACACTACACACACACACACACATATGCATACACGCATAGATACACATATAGACACTACACATACACACACACACACACATACACACAATACACACTTAGACACACACATACATAGATACAAACATTAAAAAAATTAAGCCACCCAGCAGTTTCTTACCTTCTGCTGGCTGTGGCTGGTGGGAGTTGGGGGTATGCAGCTGCACTGCCGCCACGGGTTGGGAACTCCTGTATTTTTTTTATGTCAGGGGTGGCAAAATGCAGCCCCTGTCAATGTGCCGCATACAGCCGTGTCCCCATCGCGGTCTATGGATGGGCCGGCCCTGTGGCCAGTGGTCAGTCACACAGCTCTGTACAACTACCTTTAGTTAAAATCAAGGCTAGTTTATATATTAGTATAACTTGTCTAGTATACCTTTGTACATGTTCCTTAAAAGATTACTCCAAGCACCATAACCACTTCATTGATTTGATGCCAGAGGTGTAACTCCACCTCCGTTTTTACCCGGCCCAGAACAAAAGCCTGCTAATGTCAATTCTGTGCATATTTCTTCTCTTTTTTTCATATTTAAGTCTTGTTTTAGAAAATACAATACAGATATACAGTACCAGGGCCGGACTGGGAGAAAAATTCGGCCCGGGCATTTTTTTAACACGGCGGCCCACTAAAAAGGGGGCGGGGCAGAGGAGGTGTGTTTTGTCACCAATGACAGACACGCCTCCTCTCAAAGTGAGCATGTTGGTTCAATGCTCTTCCAGGGCAGACCATGCACAGAGCTCTGCTGAAGAGCTCTAGCATGGGAAAAAAGTCCTGTATTTGTTTTGCACAGTGCAAGCAAATTTAATAACATGCTTGCACTGTGTTTCCTTGCAACTTGTCTCTGGTGTCTATAAATGGATACCAGGAGACAAAAGGCCAGGAAAGAGTATTGTGCATGTGTTTGGAGCCTGCTTGTGGTATTGCGTGTGTGTAGAGTGAACTGGTCGTGGTGTGGTATTGTGTAATAAGGTCAGTTTTAGTCGTGTTGTGTTTGTGGTGTAATGTGATGCACATGTGGCTATGGGCTGTAGAGAATGTGTGTATTGGGGATATAGCAAGTGTGTGCATACAGGCTATAGTGTGTGTGTGTTTAGGGGTGTAGAATGTGTTTGCTTACAAGGAATCTAGTGTGTGTATAGGGGATCCAGAGTGTGTATGTTAAAGGACCACTATAGTGC